CTCCACAAAAGCAGCTTGAAAGTCACTAATACAACAGTTTAAACATAGCTTAAGTCTTTGAGCAAGAATTTTTGATATGAGCTTATACACCACACTGCACAGACTTATGGGTCTGAATTGCCCCAGGGATTCAGGATTAGAGAACTTTGGAATTAGGGAAATGATAGTGTGATTCCAGTATTTTAGAAGCATACCTGACTGGGAAAAACTTGAGACTGCAGCTATCAAATCAGTGCTTATGACTTCCCAAAAATGTTGATAGAAAATGGCAGTCATGCCATCTTCTCCAGGGGACTTGTCAGAGTCAAGGGAGAAGAGAGTAGATTTAATTTCCTCAGCCTCCACCGGCTTAAGAAGAGCCTGGTTCATCTCAGCAGTGATAGAAGTAGGAATGAGAGGAAGAATGGAGTCCTCTCCCCAACAGCCATCAGTAGAAAAAAGATTGGCATAGAAGTCAGAAATGTGTTTTCCAATATCTGCTTGAGAAGTGAGAGTGATGCCTTGAGGAGAGATCAGTCTGGTTATGGCATTTGTCTTCCTCCTTTGCAAGGTAAGGGCATGAAAAAACCTTGTGTTAGCATCTCCTTCCTTGAGCCATCTGGATTTGGCCTTCTGTTGCCAGTATAACTCCTCTTGCTTATGAGCAAAATTCAACCCTCTCTTAGTAGCTTCCCAATCAGACCAGTTAATGCTTGCCTTATCTTCATTCAGAGACTCCAATTTATGAGTAAGTTCAGCAATAGTTTTCTGTCTTTGAGATTGAAAAGAAGAACTCCATTTGAGAAGGGCTATTCTAGTAAGCTTCACTTTTTCTTTAAGTTGAAAGAAGGGGGTACCAAGGACTTCAGTGTTCCAAGCCTGCTCAACTACTTCTTGGCATCCCTCACAGTTGATCCATCTTCTGTCAAAATGGAAGATGCCTTTCTTGTTTTCCTTGGGGAGGCCCAAATTAAGCAAGAGAGCTATATGATCTGAAGCACTCCTTAATACATTTGTGACAGTAGCATTGGGAAATTTCATAGACCAGTCAAAAGAGCAAAAACCCCTGTCCAGCTTCTCCTCTACCAACTCTGGAAAAGCTCTGTTGTTACACCAAGTGAAGGTAGGACCTTGCATTTTAATTTCCACCATGGCCATGTTGTTGATGAAAGAAGAGAACCCCAGAAAGGAGTTGGGGCTTCTGCACACACCTCCAGATTTTTCCTCATGGGAGAGGATATCATTCCAATCTCCTATTATAAACCAACTGGGGCCCCAAGCTGGTTTTTCATCCAAAAGAGCTTCCCACTGAGAGAGCCTTACTGATTTCAAAGGGCTGCAGTAGACAAAAATCCCCCAATGGGGTGTAGAGGAGTTGATGCTGAATTCCACTACAATGAAAAAGTCTTTGCACTGAATCTGGTTAATCACAACTTTAGAATTCCAAAATAAAGCAAGCCCCCCACTAAGACCAGAGGGGTTAATAGTAATGCACCTGCTATCAAAAGCTAACTTATTGCTAACAGTATTTACAAAAGCTGAAGATTTCTTAGTTTCTGATAAAAAAAGAAAGACTGGGTGATGAGTTTTAAGTAACTCTCTGATTTGGGAAATTGTAGAGGGCCCACCCAGCCCTCTACAATTCCACATCAGAGCTAACATGGGCCACTTGGGTGCCATTCAAGGCTGGCAACCCCCACCTTTTCAGTTGAATCTTCAGGTATGGCTTGATCCTCCCCCTTAGAAATTTTGGAGTTTTTTTATGTCTCCTGCACAGATCCCTCAGCAACAGCTCTCTTGGAACCTATCACTTTATCAATGACAATTGGAATAACTGGTTCTCTCAACAATCTTCCTGATTTGGTGCCCAACCTCTTCCAAGTCTTGGGATTAGGGACAAAAGAGATGCCTGTCTGCTTGTGTGGCTTAGAATGAGCTGGAGGGTTGTGATCCTCAATTTCCATAATAGCAGAAGACTCCACAATCTGTAACTCCGGTTCTGATGGCCCTTCTTTCTGAGTCGGTGCTTTGGAGGATGAAGATAGGGAGGCCACTGCATCAGGCTTATCAGGAGATGGAGAACTAATCTGAGCATTACTCCCCTGGACCTGTAGAGAGGAGATATCCTCCCTAACTGGAATAATTTGATAACTCTGGTCGGCTTGACTCGTTGATGCTTTGTGTGATTGCCTTTGCTCAGAATCAGACTGCGAGTTTGGAGATGGGGAGTTCCTAGAGCCAGAGATGTTGGTGCCCACCCATTTCTGTCCCTCAGATGCTTTCAGCCAGTCACCATATTGCCCTTCCCTCGGTGAGTTGTTTTTGATATCCAGAAGCCTCTTAGAGCACGTTTTATACAAATGCCCAATTTTGCCACAGTAGTGACACAGATTAATCAATTTTTCGTACTTAAAACTCACACAGGCTACCTGATCCCCCAATCTGATTTGAGTAAACCTGGGCAATGGTTCATCGAGAATAAGAGTAACAAGTAACCGAAGCAGCTTGCCACCATGGTTGCCAGTGTTCACAATAACCACGTTTTTAACTTCCTTAAATATTTTTCCTATCTTCAGCCCAACTTCTGCACTCGTCCAGTTAAGAGGGAGATTATTTACCTGGACCCAGAGGCTGATTTCGCTGAAACTCGGGTGGTTACTGGTAAGGTTATGCGTACAATCCTTGAGAATCAAGTATTGATTCTCGAAACTCCAGTTTGAACCACTAGCTACTCGAGCTTTGTCTTCATTGCTATCGAAGATGAATTGGAAGAAGTTTGGACTGAGCTCCTTAATCTCCATTGGTTGCGCGAGCTTCCAAATTTGATTCATGGCCCTTCTAATTCCGAACCATCCGGTTGACCTATCTCCGATAACCTTACCAAATAGGCTCCTCTGACACTCATCATCGCTAAGCCGAATGTCCCTTTGAGCTATATCAATCATGTTACCCTCTCTTTCAGAGAGCGAGAATTCATTTAGTTTGGATGCAAGATCGTCATCAGGATTCAGCGTTGGTAGATTAGCCATATCAAAACCCTAGGATAGAAAAAACAAAGAACCCAAAATCCGGAAAACAAGAGCGACGAACAAAGATCGGTAACTGAAGAGCACTAAAAGAAAGCACAATCCAAAAACTAGGCGGAGAAACAATGGAGAATCAGGAAACTGGGGAGGCTCTCAACGAGAGAATCTAAGCTCTCAACGAGAGAATCTAAATTGAACTTTATGAATTACAAAGGGGCTCGATTTTTATTGACCGGAAAGTTGATTCAATACGCGGAGAATAT